GGATGGACATTTTCAATTATATTTTAAAATAATCACGCTATATAGAGAAGCTTTGTAAGAGAGCTTGTAGTTAAGAGCTTACTGTGGCTGTGTTTTTAAGAGCTTGATTTAGCTTTGTATCTGAGAGCTTACCGTAGCTCTGTATTTAAAAGCTTACCGTAACTCTGTATTTAAAAGTTTACCGCAGCTCTATGTTTAAAAGCTTACTTTAGCTTTGTATCTAAGAGCTTACAGTAGCTCTGTATTTAAAAGCTTACCGTAGCTCTGTATTTAAAAGCTTACCGTAGCTCTGTATTTAAAAGCTTACCGTAACTCTGTATCTGAGAGCTTCTGTATCTCTACATTTAAGAATTCCTCTCACTATTTTAACGTCATTCACATGTTTATATTGTTCACTGTATGTAATGTTCACGATGTTTCAGAAAAGCTTTCAGTAAGTTGTTGTAAGCGATGCACTAGAAGACAAAAAGAATGCAGATGTAATATATACAGACTTTGCAAAAGCCTTCGACAAGTGTGACCATGGCGTAATAGCGCACAGAATGCGTGCTAAAGGAATAACAGGAAAAGTCGGTCGATGGATCTATAATTTCCTCACTAACAGAACACAGAGAGTAGTAGTCAACAGAGTTAAGTCCGAGGCAGGCACGGTGAAAAGCTCTGTTCCACAAGGCACAGTACTCGCTCCCATCTTGTTCCTCATCCTCATATCTGACATAGACAAGGATGTCAGCCACAGCACCGTGTCTTCCTTTGCAGATGACACCCGAATCTGCATGACAGTGTCTTCCATTGCAGACACTGCAAGGCTCCAGGCGGACATCAACCAGATCTTTCAGTGGGCTGCAGAAAACAATATGAAGTTCAACGATGAGAAATTTCAGTTACTCAGATATGGTAAACACAAGGAAATTAAATCAGAGTACAAAACAAATTCTGGCCACAAAATAGAGCGAAACACCAACGTCAAAGACCTGGGAGTGATCATGTCGGAGGATCTCACCTTCAAGGACCATAACATTGTATTGATCGCATCTGCTAGAAAAATGACAGGATGGATAACGAGAACCTTCAAAACGAGGGATGCCAAGCCCATGATGACACTCTTCAGGTCACTTGTTCTATCTAGGCTGGAATATTGCTGCACACTAACAGCACCTTTCAAGGCAGGTGAAATTGCTGACCTAGAAAATGTACAGAGAACCTTCACAGCGCGCATAACGGAGATAAAACACCTCAATTACTGGGAGCGCTTGTGTCATGTGGGTTTCGAAAACGTGGATAGGGTAAAAATACTCACGTAGGCTGGTAGTACGTATAATATAACGGAATGTGTGTGAAGGCGCCAACCGCCGTCCTGCCTCTCTGCTCTCTATCATAAGACTAACTGACTAACTGACCCACAGTGCCTATGTGAGGGGGTGTTTGAAATCCTGCTATGGTCAGCAGCATGAATACAGTCAGTGATTCATGCAGAGACGGTTGGTAGCAAGTCATCTACTGGTACACTGGTTACTGGTAACTGGTTACTAGGAACTGATACTACTACTGAGAGCCACCTCACCCATAGACACTGGTGGGTCAGTTAGTCTAGTCAGGGAGCCAGAGAGAGGCAGGTCGGCTGTTGGCGCTTCCCACACTTTCTGTTATATTATACGTACTACCAACCTACGTGAGTATTTTTACCCTATCCACGTTTTCGAAACCCACATGACATTGTCGGAAGAAATGAGCTTTCTAGGTGAACTCACATAACTGGCTTTATCGTTGGCGCTCAGCTACAATCTTGACCAATTATGAGAGTCAAAACAGTATTAGGACCCGGTACAAGGGTGCAAACAGCCACAGGTAGGTGAGGTGGGTGGCTGGTGGTGGTGGTGGTGGTGTTGGGGCAGCGGAACAAGCTGGCCCTGTGCGCTCTCACTGCCACGCACTTCTCACACGCACAAGGTGGCTTAACTAAATCACAATGCCACAGGAATGATGAAGACTACTCTTACCAGCATCCAAGCACAAGCGATATATGAGACAATACTTCAGAGGAACTTGCGTGGCTTACTTCTCTCTCTCAGCTGGGTTAGAAGCTGGGTTGGCTGACTGGCTTAACCCACGAGAATGGCTGACTGGAAGACGTGTAACGATGCACACAGCATGAAGGAGCAGGTGGATGACAAGAGACAGGCTGGATGGTAGGCTGAGGCAGGCTGACTAGCGTTCACTTCCACAGTCTGGCTTAATTGCAAAATCCGGGTCAACCCCTCGGAGATTGAAGCAATTAGCACACGAACTAAGCCAGGAAGCTTGAAAATCGGCTGCAACAGGCTTGCAGACTGGAGTACACAAGGTGGTGTGCTGAGGGTAAGCTGCTAGCTGGAGGTGGCGGATGGTTCACCTTTGACCTGCCGGCTCCCCACAGTCTTCTAACGTCTTGAAATACCCTTAAATCCACGCTCCCACACCGCTGCCACCATTTGTCATGTGGGTTTCGAAAACGTGGATATGGTAAAAATACTCACGTAGGCTGGTAGTACGTATAATATAACGGAATGTGTGTGAAGGCGCCAACCGCCGTCCTGCCTCTCTGCTCTCTATCGTAAGACTAACTGACCCACAGTGCCTATGTGAGGGGGTGTTTGAAATCCTGCTATGGTCAGCAGCATGAATACAGTCAGTGATTCACACAGAGACGGTTGGTAGTGAGTCATCTACTGGTACACTGGTTACTGGTAACTGGTTACTAGGAACTGGTACTACTACTGAGACTTGAGGTTCCTGAACATGTATTCCCTGGAATGCAGGCGGGAGAGATACATGATTATATACACCTGGAAAATCCTAGAGGGACTAGTACCGAACTTGCACACGAAAATCACTCACTACGAAAGCAAAAGACTTGGCAGACGATGCAACATCCCCACAATGAAAAGCAGGGGTGTCACTAGCACGTTAAGAGACCATACAATAAGTGTCAGGGGCCCGAGACTGTTCAACTGCCTCCCAGCATACATAAGGGGGATTACCAACAGACCCCTGGCAGTCTTCAAGCTGGCACTGGACAAGCACCTAAAGTCGGTTCCTGATCAGCCGGGCTGTGGCTCGTACGTTGGTTTGCGTGCAGCCAGCAGTAACAGCCTGGTTGATCAGGCTCTGATCCACCAGGAGGCCTGGTCACAGACCGGGCCGCGGGGGCGTTGACTCCCGGAACTCTCTCCAGGTAAACTCCAGGTAAAGGTCATTACAGTTCTGGTATGGTCTTTCAGGGGACATGTGGCGAGCCCAGCGCTATTCTCAGCAACATGCAACTCTTTTTGATACGCTTGGCATTTTTTTTTTCCCTGGTGCGGAATAGTGGAAGTAATGGAGGGAATGGAAGAGAGGCAAGGAGGAGAAGTTGTTGGACTTACCGTCCAGGACTAGGGAGAGTTGGATGAGAGTGGTGGATATGGTGGTTTGGGTCGCTGTCACGTTTATTAGGGCCGGATTTTGGGGTTAAAAGCTAAGAACAGACACTTTGGATTTTGTCACCGAAGCGGCTAGTTTATTGTGTACCCGTATGTTTGTTTTGTGGAGGGTAGTGGCTAGTTTATTGTGTACCCGTATGTTTGTTTTGTGGAGGGTAGTGGCTAGTTTATTGTGTACTCCGTATGTTTGTTTTGTGGAGGGTAGTGGCTAGTTTATTGTGTACCCGTATGTTTGTTTTGTGGAGGGTAGTGGCTAGTTTATTGTGTACTCCGTATGTTTGTTTTGTGGAGGGTAGTGGCTAGTTTATTGTGTACCCGTATGTTTGTTTTGTGGAGGGTAGTGGCTAGTTTATTGTGTACTCCGTATGTTTGTTTTGTGGAGGGTAGTGGCTAGTTTATTGTGTACCCGTATGTTTGTTTTGTGGAGGGTAGTGGCTAGTTTATTGTGTACTCCATGTGTATCTTGTGGAGGGTTGCGCAAGAGCATATGGATGCACCAAAGGCCTAAGAACTAGGTCCGAAAAAATTTAACAGAACATCTAAATAAAACAAGATAGCACTTGCTATATTCCCTCCTAGTTATCTTTCGCATTTGGGGATGTATTTGTCTGTTACTAAAGGTTTGTAGTCTGTAAAGCATTATTTCCTGAAATGCAAACGTTAAGCTGAGCTCTTGTCAGCTTACTGCATCATTTGTAACTTAAGCTGACGCACAGGTCAGCTAAGATGCATCTCAAATCTTCAAGATGTCTCTTAATTTCGGCACCATCTTATTTCCTTCACAGCTCATCTTTTCATAGTCATGTTATGGTCTTGGGCAATATTCAGCGGGAAACAAAGTTGATAAGGTCTAGGTATTAAGTGGCGGTGGAGACCTGATCTCCCAGATGGCATCACCAGGGCTAGAGCTGCCACAGGTCGCCTCCTCCATTATGGCTTCATTGATGTACTTAGAATAACATTAATGGAATATTAGTGGGAATTATTTACACGGTAGTAATTACCTTTTTTTTTTTTTAGAACAATGGTGATTTGATAGGATGTTTGTGTGTAGTGGGGGAATTAGGAAGAGGGAGGAGCAAGAATAGTTGTGTGGAGATAGCTTTCTCCGGTTCTCCCCTCAGATCCTACTCTCTCTCTCTCTCTCTCTCTCTCTCTCTCTCTCTCTCTCTCTCTCGCTCTCTTATCATTTCTCTTTCCCTCTCCCTCTTGTGTTTTGTGCTTTCTCCTCAGAAAGCAAAAGTCGATCAAGCCAGCCTTTTGGCAGAGCCTGACTAACGAGTTTGGTACATGGCTAACTAGGGCTCTCGGCATGTGTATGTCTTTTCTCTCTCTCTCTCTCTCTTCTCTCCTCTTCTCTCTCCTCCCCCCTTCCTCTCTCTCTCTCTCTCTTCTCTCTCTCTCTCTCTCTCTCCTCCCCTCTTCTCTCTCTCTCCTCCTCTCTCTCTCCTCTTCTCTCTCTTCGTCCTCTCTTTCTCCTCTTCCCCTCTCTCTCCCCTCACATGGGTGAGTGGCAGTGGCTGGAGTCCGTCAGTTGGTGGCGGGACACCGTCGGGGAAGCACGTCTGCTGGTCCCACTCCCCCCGGGACTACGTCGTAGCTCCACGACAGGGGACGTGAAGCCTATATTAGTGTAGTGTGAGCCTAGGGCTGTGTCGGCAGTGGTAAGCCCGCACACACACACGCAACTCTGATAACACAAGCAAACATTACCGTTGTATCATTTTTGCGAGGCTTGGAAACGCCAGCCAATGAAGACGTCAGTAACGTCTCTAAGACTTACGTCACTTTGAAGTCTGACAGAAATGAACTGGTGACCGAAATGAACATTATGCACCTTCCTGGTAATTAATACATTCAAATGTATCAAATTACATTTTTCTAACTTTTTTTTTGGTATTTTTTTCACTGAAATTTTATTTTTTTTCACTGAAATTTTATATATTTTTATTTGAAAAGCATCAGTTTTTTTGTGGTTAAATTATAAATAAGAGAAATTACTTTTACTCTACTGCTTTTTTAAAAACTAAAAAAATCGTAATTTTTAGTGGAAAAACAAATTTCCTATAAAAAAAAAGTTTTGAAAAACCTCAAAAAAGCGAAAATAATTTCCTTTAAATCCTTAATAAAGTAACGCGATTGAAATACCTTAGAAAAATAAACATTGAACTCCACAAGCTGGTAATGTTGCAGTAAGATATTTATAATGTGATGGGATGGATAACAGTGTTTGTTTATACCTTCCAGTGAGTGTTTTGATGCTGCTGAAGGGCTCTTGATCCATGCAGTTACTACTGTCCTCTCCATCATATGAGAACGGAGGAGCGAGTCCTCAAAATCCGATTCTGCTTACAATTCCCCCAAGAGCTGTATGACTAGGCCTTTGCCCTTCTCCATTAATAATTTTTATGTATGATTATAATTTATTATGATTATAATTTATTATTATTATAATTTATTATTATTTTTATTATGCCTGAGTTTTAGAAGAGCAGGACGTTAATGGTGTATTTAGTTTTGTTTAAAAAAATGAGCTGGTGATTATGGTGCTTGGTTCTCGACCTTATGTACATTGATACTAAGGAAGGTTGTCGTGTGACGCATTGTGTGGATAACTAGAAAGTAGGTGGGTTGTTAGGTGAATGTTTATGGTTGGCTCATAAGCGGGTGATTGGTGGGGGGGGGAGGGTGTGAATGGATTGTGAGGTGGGTAATTGGAGTTGAAGTTTGTGTAAATTGGCCAATAAAATTGGGTTATGGGGGGTGAATGGGTTTTTAGGTGGGTAATTGAGTTTGATGTGGGTGGGTGGGTTTTTTGGCAGTTGAATTTATAAGTTGAGAGCCTCAGCGTCAAGCCAGTGAAATCTATGGTATGTTATACCACCACCCAGGATGCCATCCACTGTAGTCGGGAAATACCAAGGTACCTACTCACTGCTTGGTGAACGGGGGGGGGGGGCAACAGGTGTAAGAAAATGTGCCAACACGTCTCGCCCAGCCCGTGAATCGGACCTGGGTGGGGCAGAGGTGTGTGTACTCACTATTTGTGCTTGCAGGGGGTCCATTCATAGCTCCTGGCTCCAGCCTCTTCACTGATCGCTACTAGGTCCTCTCTCCCTGCTTCATGAGCTTTATCAAACCTCGTCTTAAAACTGTGGTTCCTGCCTCCACTACTTCACTTGCCAGACTGTTTCACTTCCTGACAACTCTGTGACTGAAGAAATACTTCCTAACATCCCTTTGGCTCGTTTGAGTCTTCGTGTTTCAATTGTGACCCTTTGTTTCTGTGTCCCATATCTGGAACATTTTGTCTCTGTTCACACTGTCAATTCCTCGCGGTATTTTATATGTCGTTATCATGTCTCCCCTAACCCTCCTGTTCTCCAGTGTCGTCAGGCCGATTTCCCTTGACCTTTCTTCCTAGGACATTTCCCTTAGCTCTGGGACTAGTCTTGTTGCAAACCTTTACACTTTCTCTAATGTCTTGACGTGCTTGATCAGGTGTAGGTTCCACACTGGTGCTGCATATTCCAATATGGGCCTGACGTACATGATGTACAGAGTCTTGAACGATTTCTCTAGAGGTATCGGAACGCTATTCTTAGGTTTGCCAGGCGCCCATATGCTGCAGCAGTTATCTGGATGATGTGCGCCTCAGGAGATGTGCTCGGTATTATACTCACCCCAAGATCCTTTCCCCTGAGTGAGGTTTGCAGTATTCACCTCACCTAATTGTGGTTGCAGGGGTCGAGGCTCAGCTCCTGACCCGCCTCTTCACTGACCGCTACCTAGCCTATACTCTGCGGTCTTCTTTGCCCTTCCCCGATCTTCATGACTGCATATGGCGGGGTTAAATTCGAGGAGCCAGTTGCTGGACCAGGCTTGCAGCCTGTCCAGGTCTCTCTGTAGTCCTGCCTAATCCTCATCCGATTTAATTCTACTCAATAACTTCACATCATCTGCAAACAGGGACACTTCTGAGTCTATCCCTTCCGTCATGTCATTCACATACACCAAAAACAGCACTGGTCTAGGACCAGCGAGTGTGCGTGTGTGTGTGTGTGTGTTGTGTGTGTGTGTGTGTGTCATAATTCGTAAGAGCACACTCTACGTTTCATAGTGTTTTGAGGCATTTTTTTTTCTTTTTGACATTCTAAATTTTTACTTGCGAACCGCAAGCATTTACCACAATTTACTTTTTATTGCATATAAACACGCCTTCACTTGTCATCAGACTCGCTCTGGGCCGCATATTAAGCACATAATTTACTAGAGCGCTTTTGTGTAGGTTACAAACTATAGAACGACATATGGAGATATGCCATACTAAATATTAAGTATAATTGGTACGGCAGTTAAGAGACGGGACGAATTAAAAGGGCCAGGGATATATGGGACACAGTTGGCAGTTGAAGACACAGATGAGCCATAGAGATGTTAGGAAGTACTTTTTAGTGTTAGGATGATCAAGAAAGTGTTTTGTTGTTACCGCTACTGTGAATTGATAATATAATGAGGATGTTTTTGTCCTGCACGATCTGAGAAAGGTATCCCCGTATTCCATAAGCCCAGCCACCTCTACCATAAGGACCTGAGAAGAGTATTCCCGTATTCCATTAAGCCCAGCCACCAGTATCCTAAAGATCCGAGAAAGGTATCCTTGTATTCGTAATGGAATATGAGGATACCTATATCAAAGATTTGAGTCAAGTATCCCCGTATCCCAGAGCTTTACGACTCACTCGCCATGGGTTCAAATTCCACCCGTTACGTGGTTTGCAATCGTTCTATTACGATTTAGTGAGTCATGATAATTATTTTTAAGTGACTTGTTCTCTCTCTCTAGACTGGAATATTGCTACACACTGACAGCCTCTTTCATGACGGCCAGAATCGCGGATCTGAACAATGTACAGAAAACCTGTAATTGCTCCTCCAAATTGAGTCCTGCGCCTAAATTATTGGGAACGAGTGAGAAGTCCCTCAAACTGGACTTCCTGGGACGATGTTATAATCTTACATAGGAAAAACTCCTGAGGTATTGGTCCCAAATCTACACCTAAATTGATCTCCAGCAGCAACACCCTGGTTGACCAGGCTAGCAACAGACGAAAGTAGTAAGACTCTCGAAAGTCATCAAAGGTACATCAGAGGTATAAATTACTGGGAACGAGTGTGAAGTCCCTCGAACTTGACTCCCTGGGACGTAGGTGAGATAAGTTATAAATATACGCAGGGTAAATTATCGAGGGATTGATGCCGGATGTAGAGAGGAAGATCATCTGGTGCTGATGGACGGTGGTGTGTAGACCAGCGTTATCTGCAACCAGAACTAGCCAGACATTTTAATTTTTGACATCGTTGTTGTAGGGGAACACTTGGATCTTGCAGGGGAACACTTGGATCTTGCAGGGGAACATTTGGATCTTGCAGGGGAACACTTGGATCTTGCAGGGGAACACTTGGATCTTGCAGGGAACACTTGGATCTTGCAGGGGAACATTTGGATCTTGCAGGGAACACTGTCTTGCCTTGGAACTGGCAGGAAACACTGCCCTACTTTGAAACACTGTGTTGCAGGGAACATTGCAGGGCCGCCCGGCTCCGCGTACGTCAATACTGAACCGACATAGCCTTGCAAGATAGGTTGTGTTGCAAGCTTGGTTTTTGTGTTGCAGATGTAATTTTGCTTGCACCAGTATGTGTACTCTCAGAATTATGTTGCCGGGGGTCGAGTCATTATTCTTGGTCCGACTCAACTGTCATCCTAAGCGTAGTTCCTGTCATTTAATCACTGTCGTGCGTACTATGAAAACTGTGTATGAGTTTTCCCCTCCCACTTTATCATACATGCGCAGGTGTATTGGGGAGGTTTTCAGGGTGTGGGTGAGGTTGTGCAAGGATGTGGAGTAGGTAGAGTGTGTGGGGAGGTTGTCAGGATGTGCAAGGTTGTAAGTTAGTGGGTGAGGTTTGTCCTGGATGGTGGAAGGTTGTAAATGGTGTGGGGTTAGTTGTCAAGGATGTGGAGAGGTTGTAAGTGGTGTGGGGAGGTTGTCAGGGATGTGGAGAGTTGTAAGTGGTGTGGGGAGGTTGTCAAGGATGTGGAGAGGTTGTAAGTGGTGTGGGGATGTTTCAGGATGTGGAGAGGTTGTAATGGTGTGGGGAGGTTGTCAAGGGTGTGGGGAGGTTGTCGGGGGTGGGGGGAGGTTTTTGGGTTGGGGGTTTGGGTTTAGGGTTGTGGGGAAAGGTTGTAAGGGGGGGGAATTTTGGGGTTGGGGGAGGTTGTCGGGGGATGGGGAAAGGGTTGTAAGTGGTGTGGGGGAGGTTGTGGGGGTGTGGGAGGTTTCAGGGTGGGGTTGAGGGTGTGGGGGGTTTGGGGGGGGGGTAAGGGTTGGGGGGGTTTTTTTAGGGGGGGGGTGTGTGGGGAGGTTGTAAGGGTTGGGGGGGTTGTCGGGGTAGGGGAAAGGGTAGGGTGGGGAGGTTGTCAGGGATTGGGGGGGTTTTTTGGGGTTTTAAAGGGTTTTGAGGGGCTGGGGGGGTTGTCGGGGGTGTGTGGAGGTTTCGGGGTTGGGGGGTTGTCAGGGGTTTTTGTGGGGGTTTTTGTCATGGGTGTGTAAAGGTTGTCGGGGGCCCGGGGGAGGGTTGGGGGGGTGATAAAGGTTTCAGGGGTTGGGAAAAGGGGTTGTAGGGGGTGTAATTTTTTTTCAGGGGTCTGGGGGGGGTTGCAGGGGTGGTAAAGGGTTGGGTCGGGGGGTTTTGGGGGGGTTGTCAGGGGTCTGGGGGGGGTTGTCAGGGGTTGAAAAGGGTTTGTCAGGGGTAGGGGGAAGGTTTCAGGGGTTGGGGA